ACTGTTTGCGTAATATGTACATATTATTTCGAAATTTCTGTCTTTCTCAAGAGTGTTTCACTTATATGATAAAGTACTTCGACATATATACTACTCAAAAGAGGTTAAAGAACATCCGATGCTTTCAATATTATTATAGTTAATCTGTGAAACATTAACTATTATAACATAATAAACATCGGGTGTTTAACTTCTTTTGAGTAGTTTATTCAAAACTTGACTAAACATTGTAATCTTGTGGAGTTTACGCAATCAATTGTTCCGTTGTCTCGACCTCTCTTATCTCGATGTATCGTTTACGAGACTGTTATATGGTTCGACAAAATACGTATCGTCATTGTAATCTTATATCGAAACCAAGCTTGTTTTGAACTACGGGTTACTCGATCCAATTGGTGAAATGTGAACATTTACAAAGTCTGGTGAAAGCGTTTGATTGTTCCCCCACCTGTGTCAGTTGATAGCAGCTGAATCACTGACAATAACGGTCATGATTTACTGAGTTATCCTGTTTTTAAGAATATCTCCCACCAAAGTCCGTATTATCGGGGTTTCCTTATAATATGATAGTGTTACATTCACCGAAATCTAAGACGGCTCAAATGGTTTTCATATAAAATTTGTTTACAACGATGCATTTTCCGCGCAGTAGCTGCTGGTGATAAAGACAACCAAAAGACATGATCATTTCAGCGCATTCACTGACAATTGACAAGGAAAACATCAAGACGTTAGTCCTGACAAGGAGCCTATAAATCCTGGTTCTGATAACAAAGTTTACATTCACGTCGATCCCAGTCTTTAGGTCGTGATTAGCAAAATGATTGAGCCTCATAACCAGAATTCTTTCTTGGCGGGTCTGTTAAGAAACATTTATTCAAAATAAAAAATTGACAAAATACTTAAACATTTTGTTTTGGTATTCGGGTGGTAAAAGGCGTTTTTTCTCATTTGTTGTTATTGTTTGTGAAACACTTCTTCGTTTTGTCTTTGCAGATAATGGTTTGGCTCGTGATTAATGATGTTATTAAAATGTCTCCAATGGCACATTTAAACATCCTTCTTCCAAACTCACAACGTTATTTTGTTTGTTTGTTTGTTTGACGACACACTCAACAATATTCCAGCTGTATGATTGTAAATAATCGAGTCTTGACAACACAATCAAGTGATTGATACCATGAGCATTGATCCACGCAATTGGGATACGATGACAAGCATTGGTTTCTGAAGACCTATTCTAACCCGGATCTTCACGGGTCATTACGTTTTAAATGTAAATGTATATCGAATTCTTATTGTTACAGTGATTAAAATGAGGATCATAACAATGTGGTATTTCTAGGACATTAATACACATCAGCATCATAAACACATTAATAACCATAAATTCAAAATAAGAAAAAGCAAAGCCAGCTTTGTAAAAAAACAGCACAAAGTAAGGTCAAGGTCAATTACCGAACGCGTCAACCCATTTTAACGTATCCCTCGGAGTCAAAACAGCCCTGTCCGGGTTTTCATCACAACCGATTCCGGATTTTAGCACAACCCTGTTTAAACATTCCACTCACAAACACTCAAGTCCATCTTCAGGCCTTACGCGTTCCGACGTCGAGTGACGGTGCGGCGGTTGGCACGTGATGAGACGCACGGGGTCGACTACTACAAGACATTATGAGTGATCCGGTTCTTGGTTTGTCCGACACCCCAGTCTGATAGGATGGGAGGAGAGACGCGAGGACGGGTCGGCACATTCTTAAACACCCTCTTTCTAATGTAGACAGACGCAGGCGACACGAGTAGACATATTAGTCTCATTGAGGAAGTCGCGATGGCCATAATGGTTTCATCAAAGAGATGTGTGGTTGCTTGATGCACTCGAGCCCCGTTTACACCCCGTGCTACCGTTCTTGGTTTGGATGAATGAGATGTTCGGACAGGTAGTTCTAGAAGAATATCACTTCACAAGAAGCTACTTCCCCCACGACTGCCCCTGTTCGATGCTCATGATATCAACCACTGGATTGTCTGGTCCAGGCTCAATAATTTACAGACCGCCGTCATATAGCTGGAATATTGCTGAGTGCGGCGTTAAACAAACAAACAAACAAAGCTCTTTCTACTACTACTACTACTACTACTACTACTACTACTACTACTACCACTACTACTACTACTACTACTACTACTACTACTTCTACTACTACTACTACTACTACTACTTCTACTACTACTACTACTACTTCTACTACTACTACTACTACTACTTATACTACTACTACTACTTCTACTACTACTACTACTACTACTACTTCTACTACTTCTACTTCTACTACTACTACTTCTACTACTACTACTACTAATACTACTACTTATACTACTACTACTACTACTACTACTACTACTACTTATACTACTACTACTACTTATACTACTACTACTACTACTTCTACTACTACTACTTCTACTACTACTAATACTAATACTTATACTACTACTACTACTACTACTACTACTACTACTACTACTTATACCACCACTTCTGCTACCACAAATAAGACATCGATGACCTATTACTACTCCTTATACGCCGACGACACCTAAAGATACTGCGACGGAGGTGTCTGTAGATGTTACTACTTCAACTACATCTGTAGGTTCGAATCCTATCATTACGACGTCACCTGCAATTACCGCCTGCGTGGTCTAGTGGTAGAGCGTCAGCCCGGAGAGTGGAAGGTCCGGAGTTCGATACCCGACCGCGTCATACCAAAAGACGTTAAAAGATGGTACTTGTTGTTACCCTGACAGGCGCTCGGCATTTATGGGTTAAAAGAAGGACTGGTCCGCTCGGCTACGGCGATAACATGCGTAGTTACACCTACTCATACGACATCATCTGCAGCTGCTACCACTTCGAAATATGTAGCTACGACTGCCACTACTACTACTACTACTACTACTACTACTACTACTACTACTACTACTACTACTACTACTACTATCACAACTACTTCTATTGCTACTACGACATCCGTAGCTACAACTACTGAGTAGACCACATCTGTAGCTACTACTACCAAGGCGACATCCGTATCAACATCTTAGCCAAAACTCTTAACTGCTCCTACAAGTAAAGTACCGACTCTCACCACCAGTTAAACACTGTATAGCATACCAGTTCTAACATGTATGGTTAAATACTGTTGAGGATACCAAGTCTGTCATGTCTAGTTAATGCTGAATATTGTATCAACGTTGGTTTATCATGACGTGTCCATGTTACCCGATTTGTCGGGTACGATTAAATCGGTTCAACATGTCTGATGATGTGGAAGTGGCTTCTCGTTACTCGGAGTCTGCTTTGTTGCCTTCAGATAACCCTGTTGATGAAATCGTTTTCCGTGCGACGTTTCTTTGGTGTGTCTTGACCTTTGACCATGTAAACGACACAATTTTGTTTTAACAAGATAGCTGTGATGGAGAGGCGCATTTCAGTTCGTTGAGTATTTTTCATTCTTTATTAAAACCTTTTTGCTTGACTAGGAAAATATGTTTCTCGGTCAAGAATAAAATCGTTCTTTAAGTGTAGTTTTTATTTTTTATTATTTTTTTTTTGGGTGGGGGTGGCTGTTTGGGGTCTTGCTGGGAACCTATTTTAACGTAGAAAGTTCGGACAAATTGCTATTACTCGGTGGAAGTACAAATACAAGAAATGGAGTTATGCAAGTGAATACTTTGTCTCTCAAATACCAGCATTTTGTCTGTTCATTCATTGTCATATTCTCTCGACAAATACCACATCTACAAATCTCTTTTACTCCTATATTTGAGTAAACTTCTCGTTTATACCCGGCTTAATTACGTGGAATTGTTTTCGAAAAAAGCTAAATGCTTTTTTTTATGATATACTGACGTCCAAAAGAAAGTACACAGAGACGAATGATGCAACACCTCAGCATGTTGGAAGTTTAGATATATATTTAATGAGAGTGGTGTTTTAGCATCAAGTGAAAAGAATTCCTGCTATAAAAGCCGAAACGTTACGAGTAACAATGACACAAAGATACAGGGGGTCGAAATGGGATCGTTCACGTTGTCATTGTCAAAACACGTGTACCAACAAACCAAGTCACCGAATAGTCATAAATCACCGGGTTAATATCGAGTATGTCCACCTCGTGCATCAACGCAGGCCACACCGCTTAGCCGTCCCGATGACGTTATGACGCCTGATGACGTTACTGGGATTCCGTGGCCGTGTCTCGATGGTTGACTGGCGGTACTGGTCGCCTTCTGACTGGCCTGTCAAGTTGATCCAACACATGTTCGATGGGGTTCATGTCAGGAGAACAAGCAGGTCATGGCAAAACATTAACGTTCATGTTGTTCAGGAAATAATGTGTCAGCTTTGCAGTATGGGGTCTAGCGTTATCACGCTGGAAGACTATGCCGCGTGGCTGTTATTGGATATATGACAGTACAACGGGTAGCAAAACTTCACCCCGATACCTCTCTGCAGTAATGGTGCCTTGAATGATAACCAGTCTCGTCTTCAAGTCTTCCCAGATTCTCCCCAGACCATGACAACCCCGCCTCCAAATGACTGAACTTTCTGGACAGTTGGGCACAAGGCGTTCATCTGATGGCTGTATACACGCTGCCGACCATCAGGACGAAACAGGTGAAACGTGGTCTCATTAGAGGACATGAACTTAAACTCAAACACCGATCCCGCCCGGCCTATATCATCCTGTTATGTCAGTGTTGTGGCGTCAACGTCTTTGCAAAGGTTGGGTCGATGCGCTCGCATACCATGTTTCCTCAGTCGTCACGTCTGTCGACTGACATGATGTCCGAGTGACGTCGACACCACTGCTGTCGCGAGGATGAAGCGGTTTCTGAGATGAGGTACACGGATGTAATGGTCTTCAGTGGGCGTTGTCCCACGGGGTCTCCCGCTCCTAGACATGTCTGTTGTCACACGGGGTCTCCCACTCCTAGACATGTCTGTTGTCACACGGGGTCTCCAACTCCTAGACATGTCTGTTGTCACACGGGGTCTCCCGCTCCTAGACATGTCTGTTGTCGCACGGGGTCTCCCGCTCCTAGACATGTCTGTTGTCACACGGGGTCTCCCACTCCTAGACATGTCTGTTGTCACACGGGGTCTCCCGCTCCTAGACATGTCTGTTGTCACAAGGGGTCTTCCACTCCTAGACATGTCTGTTGTCACACGGGGTCTCCCACTCGTAGACATGCCTGTTGTCAAACGGGGTCTCCCACTGCTAGACATGTCTGTTGTCACACGGGGTCTCCCACTGCTAGACATGTCTGTTGTCACACGGGGTTTCCCACTCCTATACACGTCTGTTGTCACACGGGGTCTCCAACTCCTAGACATGTCTGTTGTCACACGGGGTTTCCCACTCCTAGGCATGTCTGTTGTCACACGGGGTCTCCCGCTCCTAGACATGTCTGTTGTCACACGGGGTCTCCAACTCCTAGACATGTCTGTTGTCACACGGGGTCTCCCACTCCTAGACATGTCTGTTGTCACACGGGGTTTCCCACTCCTAGACTTGTCCGTTGTCACACGGGGTTTCCCGCTCCTAGACATGTCTGTTGTCACGAGGGGTCTCCCACTCCTAGACATGTCTGTTGTCACACGGGGTCTCCCACTCCTAGACTGTTGTCACACCTGTCTGCCGAAAACGTCGCATCAAACTGGTTATGCAAAAACGGGTGCAACCGAACGTTCTTGGCATGTTGGTATACCTGGCTCCCTCCTTTTGTTTGTTTGTTTGTTTGTTCAACGCCGCATTCAGCAATATTCCAGCTATATGACGGCGGTCTGTAAATAATCGAGTCTGGATCAGACAATCCAGTGATTGACATCATGAGCAGCGATCCACGCAATTGGGATACGATGACATGCATCTACCAAATCAGCGAGCCTGACCTCGCGATCCCGTTAGTCGCCTCTTACGACAAGCATAGTCGCCTTTTAGGGCAAGCATGGGTCCCTGAAAACCTATTCTTCCCAGGAACTTCACGGGTGTGGCTCCCTCCTAAACCGCATGATACTAAAAGTCAAATGGCTTAACCAAATTATTGTTACCAGATGAATAAATAGCACCAAATTTGGCACACAGATACAACCACCCATACTGATTAGTTTTGGAATAGGTAGCACCTCCATATATATTTCTTCCTTCAGACTCGATTATTTACAGACCGCCGTCATATAGCTGCAATATTTCTGAGTGCGGCGTTAAACAACAAACCAACTAACCAACCAAAATCCTTCAGATAGCCACCCAAATCCAAATCACTTTGACGGCAGTGTGAAAATTAGTGAAAATATAAATCTTACACACAACTACGACAACTATTTATATATCAAATTAAAGGTCTTTACATACACTACTGAGTGAGTGAGTGAGTGAGTGAGTGAGTTGGGTTTAACGCCGCTTTTTAACATTATTCCAGTTATATCACGGCGGGTCAGCTTAATGTGGGGAGAAAGCCCGAAGTGATGCAGGTCACTTCGGTGAAACTCACGAGCACGGGTATGGTGCTGACAAGCCTAGAAACAGAATCGGGGCGAAGCGGGTGTTTGTTGTTTAACGCCGCTATATGACGGCGGTCTGTAAATAATCGAGTCTGGAACAGATAATCCAGTGATTGATGTCATAAGTATAAGTATGATTGACATAATGAGCATCGATCCACGTAATTGGGATACGATGACATGTATCAACCAAGTTAGCGAGCCTGACTACCCGATCCCGTTAGTAGTCTCCTACGACAAGCATAGTCGCCATTTACGGCAAAGCATGGGTTGCTGAAGACCTATTCTACCCCGGATCTTCACGGGCCGTGACTGCTTGCACTAATCCACAATATACCTATTTTATAGTACTAGCCCACTGAGACAGCATGCCGCAGTTTAACATGAATACCCCACACAGACACAGTATGCTGACTCCGAGGCGACCAGTCCTTGATTTAGCCCCTTAATGAAGAGCGCTAGGCAGGGTAACAATAAGAACCATCGTATAATGTCTTTTGTTGTGACGAAGCCGGGGTTCAAACCCCCAGCCTTCTGCTCTCCGGGCATACGCACTACCAGGTTTGGGTCTGGTCGCGTTGAACTTATACCACCACCATTGATCAATAGTTTTGTATTTTAATATCCGAGGTCCTATTAATGTTGTTTTATGCCACGTTCTGCAATATTCCAGCTGGATGACGTCACGCCCTCACCACTAATTCCACCCCACATTCTTAATTCCACCCCACACTCCTAATTCTACCCCACACTTCTAATTCCAGCCCACACTCCTAATTCAACTCCTCGCCCCTAATTTCACCCCTCTCTCCTAATTCCATCCAACACATCTAATTCATCCCCTCACCCCTAATTCCACCCCACATTCTTAATTCCACCCCACACTCCTAATTCTACCCCACACTTCTAATTCCAGCCCACACTCCTAATTCCAACCCACACTCCTAATTCAACCCCTCACCCCTAATTCCAGCCCACACTCCTAATTCAACCATTCTCCCCTAATTCAACCCCACACACCTAATTCCAACCGACTCCCCGAATTCATTCCCTCACCTCTAATTTCAACCCTCACCTCTAATTTCAACCCACACTCCTAATTCTATCCCACACTTCTAATTCCATTCCACATTCCTAATTCCACACCTCACCCTAAATTTCACCCCTCACTCCTAATTCCATCCAACACTTCTAATTCCAGCCCATACTCCTAATTCTACCCCACACTCCTAATTCCACCTCACGCTCCTATTCTACCCCACACCCTAATTCCACCCCTCACCTCTCAGTCCACCCCACTCTCCTAATTTCACCCGTCACCCCTAATTCCACTCCCCACTCCTATTTCCACCCAAAACTCCTAATTCCATCCCACACTTCTTATTCCATGCACGCCCCTAATTCAACCCAACACTCCTAATTCAACCCCTCACCCGTAATTCCACCCCACACTCCTAATTCCACCCGACACCCCTTTTTTTCCCCTCACCTCTAATTCCACCCTTACCCCTAATTTCACCCCTCACTCCTAATTCCATCCAACACTCCTAATTACAGCCCACACTCAGAAAACCCTCCTCCAACTATATAGAGCTCTTATACGCTCTTAACTTGATTACGGCTCCATCATCTGTGGCAAGGCTTGTAAGAGCAATTTAAAATTATCAGACACCATTCATCACCAAGGCCTGAGGCTTTGTCTTGGAGCCTTCCGAACTACACCTATTCACAGTTTGTATGTGGAAGCTGATGAGCCATCCCTTAAACACCGACGCATTAAATTATCTTTACAGTATATCTGTAAATTACGTTCTACTGAATCCAATCCAGCATATGGCTGTGTTTTTAATTCTTTGTACAAAAATCACTACAATAAAAAGACATCTCTTATACCACCACTTGGAATAAGAATACAATCTGATGTTTCTGCTGTGCAAATCAATCTTGAAAACATAGCCCCCACTCGGCTGTTCACTTCTCCACCATGGCAGTTTGTGAAGCCAGAGGTAGACGTAACATTAAGTAAACTCAAGAAATCCGACACAAATCAACGCCAGGGCCACCGTCATTGGATCCAGAACTATCTCAACCAGATTACCAGATAAATGTTCTATTTTCACAGCAGAAGCCAATGCTATTTTAACAGCTCTAAAATACACCAACAGCCAAACTAAACATAAACAGTTCATTATTTTTCAGACTCTCTTTCTTGCATTCAAGCTATTAAAACATGTCTTCCACACATCCACTTTTAATAGAAATTGTTGAATTGATTAATGATCTTGCTACTGGCCAATACGACATCGTTTTCTGTTGGTTACCAAGCCATGTTGGAATCAGTGGTAACACAATGGCCGATGCTGCTGCTAAAGCAGCACTCAACAAATCTGTGACACCACTTCTGATCCCATTCAGCGATATCAAACCTGTTACATCAGAGATCTAATGCAACAGAAGTGGGACACCCAAGGAGGTATCAATAAGTTACATGAAATTGAACCAAATATCGGTTACAGCTACTTGGGTTGTCAGTCCAGATTTGTAGAGGTCATTTTACGACGATGTCGTATTAGCCACAGCAGATATACTAACGAATATTTATTGAAAGGTGAGGATCCTCCGTTTTGTATCCCTTGTGATGAGAGAATCACAGTCAAGCATGTCCTGCTTGACAGTATTGATTTTGCCATCACAAGAGATAACTATTTCAAATCATCATCTCTTAAGGATCGTTTTAATAGTATCAGTTCCATTTAATTATTGGCTTTTTAAAAGAAATTGAACTCAGAAATAAATTTTGATGTACATAGTTGTTTCTTAACTTGATAGTGTATTATTGTGAACTGAGATTGTTATTGGCTGTTCCCTTGACGGGGGTTAAAGGACTGTAAAATTATTGTCCCCCTGAGAGGGTATAGTAAATCCATATCTTTAAAATTGCGTTATTCCTATCATAGTAGAATCTGTGTTCTTTTAAATTTCGGCTAAATTTCCTAATTGTCACCAGCAACTGAAGGGCTGGGGTCGATGCAGGTAGCAAAGGTACTATATGTCCCCATGAACCCTAGCATGGTGATCTACCTTCAGATGCTGGCGATCTATAGCCCTTTTTTATATAGTATTGTAACAAATAGTGATTCTTTTTATGGTTATATGATAGTTTTAACTATAAACTAGTAATTTTACTGTCCGTCGATGACAGGTTTTTATTTAGTTTAAAGATATGTATTCATAATGTATAACTTCTCGTCACGATATGGCTGAAATATTGCCGATGTGACGTAAAGCATGAACTCACTCAAACACTCACCTAAGTCCACCCCTCACCCCTAATTTTACCCCTCACTCCTAATTCCATCCAACACTTCCACTTCCAGCCCACACTCCTAATTCCAGCCCACGCTCCTAATTCCACACCTCACCCCTAATTCCTATCAACAATCCTAATTCAACACCACACTCCTAATTTCACCCCTCACCCCTAATTACACCCCACACCCCTAATTCAATCCCACACTCATACTTCCACCCCAAACTCCTAATTCCACCCAATCCCCTCATTCCACCCCACACCCCTGATTACACCCCTCACCCCTAATTCCACTCAACACCCCTCACTCCAAACCACACTCCTAATTTCACCCCTCACCCCTAATTTCACCCCACACCCCTCATACCATCCGACATTTCTAATTCCATCCCACACTCCTAATTCCATCCCACGCACATAATTCCACCCCTCATCCCTAATTTCACCCGACATCCCTAATTCCACCCCACACTCCTAATTTCATCCCTCACCCCTAATTTCACCCCGCACTTCTAATTCAATCCCACACTCCTAATTCCACCCCGCACTTCTAATTCAACCCCACGCTCCTAATTCCATCCCACGCTCCTAATACCATCCGACACTTCTAATTCCACCACACACACTAATTCCACCCCTCACCCCTTATTCCTACCCACACTCCTAATTTTACCCCCCCCCCCCCCCCCCCC